AATGCAGATATGGCAGCTAGTATAGAACCCAGGCAGACTACTTAAATTAGATACTCAAAAGGTGCACATGTGGCTAGTTGTATCTTTGTAAAATAGATATAATATCATAACTACCTGTACCAATGACCTAAGTAGTTACCTTAATATATATAAAAAAAAAAAAGGAAGGTTTCAAATGTGATTTGGGTGAAAAATATTGTAAGAAGTTATCAAGACCAGACCTGGGTAAGCAAAAAAATAAGGAAAAGAAAAAACAAGTGTGCATAAAGCAGATAAATCTAAAGTGACCACTAGGTTCATCGATAGTAACTATAACAACTTTTAACAATGAGCACAATCACGAAATTTTTGCTAAAACTTTAAAGTTTGCTATTGCTTACAAAACTTTTTCACAAAAAATCATGGACCTAATCGAGTTTTATGTTATACATGGACAATGTAATATAACAACAATTCAGAATCTTCTTTAGTTTAAATATTCTGATTATATATTTCTTACCCAAGATCTAGAAAATGCTATTCAAAAAATCAAGTGTGAAAAAGGATTACATTTAAGTGATGCTGCATCCTTATTAGCCAAGCTTTTTGAACTTCAATCAAGTAATTCTGCATGGTTTGTGAAACTATTAATAGATGACACAAGTAACAGATTAATTAATATTTTCTAGATATTGCCAGAACAATATAAAAATAGCTTAAATTTTATAATATTGTCATTCATAATAATACTGCATATGCAAATAAATATAATTATCCATTAAGTTTATTTCTTTTAATTAATAATCATAATAAAAGTAAACTGGCAGTTTAAGCATTTATGCAAGATGAATAGAAAGAATCATATGAATGGCTATTTTAGTGTTGTCTTGATAAATATGAAATTTCTCTATTAACATTTGTAACTGATGTAGATTTAGCAATGATTGTAGCTGCTTCTATAATTTATTCCAAATCATATCATATATAGTGCTTGTATCACCTTTATCAAATTATTTCAAAAAATCTTCATTCACATTTGGGTTCTCTTTATCAAGAATTTCTGAAAAATTTTAAAAGTGTTCAAAGTTCTCATTATGAAAGTGTATGTAAACAAAGGTTTCAAGGTTTGACTGAAAAGTATGCAGCAGAAGAAAACTATATTAATTTAATGCTACTAAATCAAAAACTTACTTGGGCTAAATATTTTACTTCTTGGTACTTTATAGCATAAACATAGTCTACACAACATGTTGAGTTAAAGAATGCACTAATACAAAAAGCTATATAGTTAAGCTTCTCACTTTTGGAAGTTCAAGAAGTACTTGAAAATCAATTTGAGTTTGAATCTATTAATAATAAATACTTAATTTGAAAAACATCAACAATGCAATATACACAACTATTTGTTGTTCAAACTTTTTTTAACAACATCAATCAGGTTTTGAAAAAATATGTTATATAGCTAATACATAATGCATATTATAAACAAATGTGTCAGTCTTTTTGCTATTATGCATATAAAATGCAAATAACAGAAATTTTAATGTCTAATGATGATTCATTTCAACCAATTTTTGATAAAGAAAATAAAAATGATAAAAGTTCTGAATTTCTTTCTGAAGCTGATAAAAATCAAGGGCTTAATTTGCAGTCTTTAATTAAAATAGTTAATTCTAGTGATATTCTGGAGATCTGAAAGATTTCTCAGTATGGCTATCTTAAATGTTATTAGCATATAATCTTACTTAACAATGAAGAGCATTTGTGCACTTGTTTTATACTCATTACTTATAGAATTATATATCGACATTTTTTTAAAATGTTTGTTGAATCTTCTAAAGCATGCTTTCATTTGTTATGAATTTCTAGCCATTGATATAATAATAAATACATTAATTTTAGTGAGTTATGTTTTAATGAAACTTTAAATAGTCATTGCTACTTTAATAATGATAGTGCACACAGTATGCAAGTTTAATTTTTTACTCAGAGATACACTACAAATAATTTTCTTGTCAAAAAAACATTTGAAAAAATCTCTCAAGATTAGTTAAAATTTGGTACCTTGATAGGTGAGGCAAAAAAGGTGATTCAATTTGCAATACAAGATAATAATGATGAACTAATTTAATTTATAAGAAAATATAATAAAAAAAAAGAGCCACGAAGAATTGAAGCCAAATTAATTAAACAAAAGGTGTTTATAAAACAACTAGCAGCAAATAATAATCAGATTTTTCAAAATATAAATAGAAATCTACTTAATTGTGGGCAGGTTTTAGATTCATCAAAGTATCAATCAAAA